TAGTTCCATACTTTCGTTCTATACAAATTCCTATAATTTTCGATTTTGTTGATTATAATATCAGGATCAACTGCCAGTATTGTGTTGCTACCATTATCGGCGGTATCTTTTCTAATCAATGTCTTCCTTTTATTAGTCCTCTGCAAAAGTGAGTATGTAATTAAATAAACCTAGTTTATGTTTGTGAATAATAATATAGCAAAGAGAAGTTGAAGATTTAACGGTGAACATGTAAGGTTAAGGAAGCTTTGTCWKTTGGGGCAGACCCAGATATTCCTCTTCGTCAATGTGACGGATTGATTAGCCAATTGATTGTTTCAATGACTGAATCAAAGGTGATAGCTAGGCATTGTTCTGAGTAAATTTTTTGTCAATAAAGAATGAATTTGCTGACTAAGATTATTGTTCTTGTTGCTTATATCGCGCTAGGTAAAAGATTTCCACAGACTAAAAGACCAAACAAAACATCCAACGCTGTTGAATTTTTCTATAACAACGACAGTACAGATGCAGGGCAAATCATTTTTGGTAACATCAATTCTGAACCACCAACTGCAGTCCAATCAGAATCGATGACGAATACAGACGAAGCAGCCCAAGGGCATTACGCAGAACTTAYGAGTAACTCTGTCAAGATGTCATCACTACARAACTACGAGCATCTKGATCCYACCTGCCGCRAGCAGCACCGCACAAAAGGCTTCCAAACGTTTGGCACTCACCAGCAAAGCAGTTACGAACAGCTTCACTTAGGCACTTCTTTGCCAGTTTACCAAAGACTACACGTCAAATATGAAGACATTCAAATTGAGTAATGAGGAAATACAAGGCAAGATAGTCAGACGTCACTACTAGAGACCTGTATATGTACATATGATATATCTGGATKGCTTTTTAACCAATGGCATGAAACTTGTAGAATAAGGTGAAGAACGCCAACACATATTAACACATGGTAGCTATAGGGTTTATCTGCTACAGCTTAATGCGTAGCATGTACCTTGTCATTCTGCTGATTATGAAGTGATCGAAAATCCAAGGTGGCTTCCTTTGCGCGCGCGGATTCTTCCAGTGACGTAACTTGGAGAATACAATGGATTCCATGGTTACGGGAATTACCCAAAACGATTGGATGAGAAGCGTTATCCGGAAAAATGCGAAATCTAGCCACCTCGATAGCTCTTC